AGGGGGACCAGACACGCCACTCAAGTGTCTCGAGCCGCTGGCCCCCGAGGAGCCCCAGACACCCAGGCCCCTCCTCACGCCAGTCGGCTCCCGGCACTCCGCACGGGCCCCGGGCTGGGGCCGGCCTGGGCCGGCCTGGGCCGGTGGACCGGGAGGGAGGCGGGCACCCGGACTTCGCACAGGCTGTCTCCGGACACCTGCGTGTCAGGGCCCTGAGCAAGGCCTCTGGGCAGCCCCCACCCTTGCACCCCACCGAAAGGAGAGGTGGGCTCGTCCTGCCCGGAGTTCCCAGGCTCCCTCCAGGGCCGCGTGCTCTGGAGGGGACCCGGCCCCACCTGCTCCAGAGCCGGCCACCGCCGAAACATCCCACACCTGTGGGACCCGGGGACAGGCCTCCCCGGAGCGTGAACCTCTGCCGAAGGTCCTGCCTCTCACCCCCCCAGCCGCCCTCCTCTGCATCCACACTGTCCCCGTGGGGGTCCGACCTCCAGGGCGGCCAGTGCCACCTCCCAGCAAGTCGCTTCATGTCCCTGTCCAGCCCCAGGCAGGTGGGGAGTTCCCAAAGTGCGGACCGTGCCCATCTCCAGGATGGAGCGGGCGCCGTCACTCTCACAGCCAAGTCCAAGCTCCTGCGAACCAGTTTCCCGCCCCTCAGTGCCACCGGCTCCGGGTCTGGGCTCAGGCTCCAGGAGGCCCTCTCTCCGGCGGACAGGAAAGGCTGCTCCACACTGACCCCACTGAGCAGCTGGGACAAGGCGGAAGTTTTGGGGGTCGGAGAAGCCCGGCCAAGAGCTGAGAGGCCGGCTGGCTGGCACCTGAAGCCAGCGGTGGAGGCCCCGGTGGAGAAGGGCGGCTGCATGGGCCCGGGAGGGCAGGGAGGGCACGGGGGGCCTGAGAGTCCAGACTGGGGTGGGAGGCAAGAATCAGGCATGGGGGAGGGGCTCACACTCGAGTCCCCCTTCCCCTCCAGCAAGGCCACACAGCGTACAGAGAAGGCCTGGTGTGGGCAAACGCCGGCACCCACCCTGCCAGGCTCCATGGCCCTGGGGCAGCCGCGGAATCACCCCTCAGTCAGATGGTGCTGGGGGGCAGTGGGGGTGAGGGCCCGCCGTGCTCTAGACCCCATCCCAGACAGGCCCAGAATGGACAAGGGGGCTCCACAGGGCGGTCACTGCCCCCTGCCCGTGGCCCCTGCCTCTTGGGGTTCAGAGCCCCACTCCATGTTGGTTTTCAAGGTTAGCTGCCTTCAGTCCGTCGCTTTCCACCAACGTCTGCTTCCAGACGGACTGGCCAGTGTCCTGCCCTCTCCTCCCCACCACACCGCCCACTGCCACCTAGTCCCTCTAAAACCCCAGGCCACGCTGGTCCCTCTGCCCACCGACTGCCCGCCCACACTCCACCAGTTGGCCACCTCAGAGGCCGCCCGCTCTCAGGGGCTTCTCGGAGCCTTCCGGACTGCCCCCAGGCTTCCAGCAGCCAGGCAGGACCAGCTGCCCTCCGACCGGAACAGGCTGCTGGCTGAGCCCCACGCCAGCCACCACGCACTCCACACCATGCCACACAGAGCCACGCAGAGCCACGCCGTGCCGGAGCGCACAGATGTGAGTTGAAATGAAAGGGCAGGCATGTGAGGGGGAGGGAACCTGGGGGAGGAAACCTGAGGGAGCTGGCCCGCACCCCCGGGACGGAGAGGCCCCGGCACATGACCACGACGAGGGGCCGTGGAGGCTGGGCTGGGCGCCCCAGGCTTGAGGCCGAAGGGGGCCGTCGCGGCTCGCTGCGTCAAGGCCGAGCAGGAGGCACGTGCAGCTGTGCCCGGGCGGAACCAGCACCTGGAAGCCTCGAGCCACGGGTGCCAAGAGCTCAGGGTCTCACCTCCCCAGCGCTGGGCCAGAGGGACGGCCCACGTCCCCACACCACGCCTGAGTTCTAAAGCAGCAGCCCCCGCTCTGGACCACTGCACCGCGTTCCCCAGAACGGACCCCGCACCCGCCTAGGCGGCAAGGAGCCCCAGGGAGGCAGGGTGGCTGCAGCGGCCACGCGGCCAGTGGAGACGGACGGCCGCCAAGGATCTCAGTCCCCACCCCAGCCTGGCCGGACCCCCGTGCTCTGAGCCACGGTTTGGGCTGGCGCCGTGGGAGCGGGGCCGCTCTGAGGGGCTGAGTTCCCCGGCCTCACTGCCCGGCCACTGGCCCGGGCTGACCCTGGCCGGCCCCACCGCACATCCGGCCACCTCTAATCAAAACCGGCCCATGTGCCTCTCCCCTCGCCCAGGGGGGGCTCCCGAGAGCTGGCAGGCATGAGGAAGAGTCGGGTAACATGAGGGATCGAATTGCCAAGTGGCTCTGGGCTCACCAGCCCTCCCAGAAGTGGGGGGGGGGGGGTCAGAAGCCACTTAGGTGCAAAACCAGCTGGGGCTTAGCAGCCGGGACTCGCCCTGACCTGGGGCGCTAACGGCCATCACTGTGCCAGACACACAGTTGCGGGCACTTGTCACGGCTGACGGAGGCTCCAGGGAGAGGCAGCCTGTCCAGTCCGCTGGGCCCTGGCTCCGCCCACAGGCATTAAGGAGCAGTCAGCCCGCATCCCATGCACTTGACCTGTCCGCCTCAGACTTCCTATGTGGCCTCTGGGAGCCCTGGAAATGCTGCCACTTGTCCTTGCTGAGGCGCCCAAGAAGTCTGCTGTTTTTAGATGGATTCATTGCTAGGTTTAAAAATTACGACATTCACACATTCTCATGAGGAAAGAGGCTTCCTTAATCAGAATGCCAGTTCACATGGTTTGGGGTTGAGGCCCCAAACCTGTATTCTGGTTAAATCTTGATTCCTGGTTTCAGGTAAAAAGCTGGGCCTGGTCACCCTGGGCCTCTGGGTTGGGGAGGCCCGTGGGCTCAACGCCCAGGCCCAGGAGCGCCAGGTTCCCCAGCAGTCCTCCCTTCTCCCCTCTGCCCGCCTCTGCCCCACCAGCTTCCCAGGGCTGTGCTCTTCAGCACCCCCACCCCCGCCGTGGTCCTGCGACCTCACGGGACCTGGCCCTGCCCAGCTCCCCCATCCTGGGCTCCTCTCCCCGAGCTCCACCGTCCCTCCACTCGTCCTGTTTCTGCTCCAGCCCGGTCCGCTTCCCACCGCAGGGCCTCTGCACCCGCCCGGCCTGGCATGTGCCCCCAGCCCCACCCACAGCTGCCCTGGCCCCTCGCTCCGTTCCAGCTCGTGCGTGCCTTCCTCAAAGAGGCCTTCCACGCCCACCTTTCTCTGTCCATGTCCCCTCCCCGTTTCTTTCCTCACCACCTGGTCACATCTCAGCCAGCAGCCTGGGCTGGGGTCCTCACTCCGCCAGTCCTCCACGGCGTGGCCCGGGGCCCTGCTCAGAGCGAGTGCCACCGTGGCTGTTCCCACCTCATCGCTCCCCCGCCCCCCCCCCCACCCCGACGCCGAGGTCTGCTCAGTAGCAACTCCAGCTCGGGGATGCGCACAGGTCCAACCGGGACCTGCTACAGACCAGACGCGGCCGCCAGTGTGCGGTGCCAGCTGTCCATGCTGCGCCCGCCCGCGCTTCACCTGGAGTCCTGCCGTGGGAAGGCCACTCTTCAAAGGGACGGCGCACACACCACCTCGCTGAGAAGGGGACTTTATAGCCTGCTAGGAGCAGCTGCCCTATAAACCCCTCCTCGATGGAAGCCGAGCGCCCCTCCCCCACCAACACTCACTCCCTTCTCCCTGAATCTGTTTCTTATAAAACTTGATTTGGGCCCGGGGTCCTCATCTGGGGCAGCCTGACCCCAGAGCCCCACAGAGGGGGGGGTCTCGTGAGGGGCAAACCCAGCCGCTGCCAGGACTGCTGGGGAAGTCTGCGCCGGGAGACTGGAGCACCGGCCCGGGCAGCCGGGGCCCGGCCTCCACGTCCTTCCGGGGACACGGCGCGGCCGGGGAGCACCGGGGCTGTCCTGTCTTCCAGGAAACTGCCGAAACAGACACTGGGGATGCTACGGCGCCCGGTACAGTAGTTCTGACTCACTACCCTGGGTTTTACACTTTTTGACTGTATTTTCTTCCCTGAGATCTGCTTTCATGTAAGAACCAGGCCCAGGCGCCCAGCTGTCGCCTTGCGGCCTCTGTCGGCTCTGATGTCCGCTGGGCTCTCTGCCGCCGGGGCCTCGCTCTGCCCTCCCAAGGCCCCGCAGGGGCAGCGCCACGTCCCCACGCTGTGCGCGGAAGCTGAGGCTCTGGGCCCGTACGGGAGTCTGCCGGGTTCCTCCAGGCCCCGCCTCGGGGCTGTCCTGTCTTCCTTCCACCTCCCTGCCCTGGACCACAGCACGGCCAGGCCCCAGGCACGCTGGCCCCCGCCTGCCCTCAGCCCACCCGGCCGCCCTGGGCCTCGCCATTGTCTCACGCCCACAGGCGCCTGCTTCTCAAGTGCTGCTCCCTCGGCCGGGAAGGCCCTCTCCTCGAGGCATGCAGGCCCCGCTCCTGGCCACCCCGTCCTGCCTCACGGCCCTGCTGCTCCGGGCCCAGACTCTGGCCAACACCGCCCTGACACCAGGGCCTTCACCCTCGGGGCTCGGCTGGCTCCTGTGCAGCCTGGCTGGCCTCCGGGGTGGCCGGCTCCCAGCCACGACAAGTGCCCCCCAGCTGGTGGCCGGGTGAACACACAGCAGACAGTCCTCGGTGCTGCCGGGTGCACAGAGACTGAGAAACGGCCACTCGCCCGGTCAGGCCTCCAGCCCGCGTGGGGAAGAGAGCCGTGGGGAAGGGGGCCCCACTCTTCCCGGCCACGGCCAGCCTCCAGCCCGGAACGTGACACAGCTTCTCCGGTCACATCCGCCCATGCGTGGCCCCACCTCGTCTCCAGGTGAAAACACCCGAAGCACCGACAGCCCCGATGAGCAGGTGGAGGGGAGGTGCTGGGAGGGGCTCCGAGCGGAGTCAGCCATGCGGGCCGCCCCCAGAAGGTTCCCGGGCCCGCTGCGGGGCGTGCCGGCCGGCGAGGGTGGGACTCACCGTTGGAGCGGTGGATGCAGGTGTGCTGGTTGTCACTGAGGAAGAAGCCGCTGTGGCACTGGCACTCGTAGCTGCCCATGGCGTTGACGCAGACCTGCTGGCAGCCCCCGTTGTTGTCCTGGCACTCGTCCACGTCTGCAGAGGGGAGGGAGGGCGGGGTCACGCCTGGGGCTGGCGCGAGGAGGAGGTGACAGTTCCCCCAGTCTGCGGGAGGGGCTCCCCGAGCTACCCCCAGCAGTGTCTGTCTGCAGGGGTGCTGCTGCTGTGCCCCACGGTGGCAGACACGCTCCACAGCAGACCCTGCAGGGTCACTCCACAGAGGCAGACGGTCACACTGGCGGTCACACTAGCTGACCCTGACTCCCCTGTGTGCCTGCTGTTGCCCCTGCATCAACTCCTCTGGCCCTCACGGCTCCCCTGTTGATCAGACCCAGGGCTGGCCCATTGAACAGACAAGCACACTGAGGCACAGAGAGGCACAGCCACCTGCCCAAGGTCCCACGGAGGCAGGGTTCAAAGCTGGTCTGGGTCCCAAACCTGGGCTCTCCCTAAAAGCCCCGCCCCCTTCCCCAGCAGACTGCAGCCCTCGCTGTCTCCCCACGCACAGAGCCTCGCCACCTAGGCCCCACCGCCCCCCTCAGTCGCATCTCAGACGTGCGGCCAGCCCCACGAGACCTGGCGGCCAGGACGAGGCAGGAGGACGAGGCAGCCTGCTGACCCCCACTGCCCAGGCTTTCGGCCTTGCAAACCGACTTCCAAAGCCCAGAGCACAGGGAGGCTTGGAAGGGCCCCGAGCCCTGGCCGCCGAGACTGCGCGGAAGGCTGCCAAGCGGTCTTCCCCACTCCCCGGGAGAGGCGGGCCACAGGGCGGCACTCGCTTCTGACCAGAGGCCGCTGGCACGACGGGGGCTCTTGGCTGAAAGGAGTCTTTATGGAGTTCTGGTCTCGCACAGAACAGCATGTTTCAATTACCAGAGTCGTAACCCCCTACACTGTCAGTTTGTTTAATGAAAGGAGGGCTTCTTAAACCTTAATGTGCCGTGTCTGTATTGTCATTTTAATAGGCAAATATATGAAACCACAGCGGCAATACGAGCTACTGGCTGCTGCCAGCCAGCACCCCAACCCCCAACACGCATGCACACACGTACACACACGCACTCTCATGCGCACACACGCGCACACCCACTGGCTGTGGCCCTGAGCTTTACACACAGGTCTCTTAGCCATGGGCCTCTGTCCCCCCCGGGACGAAAAGGACACGGGGGACGGAGCCTCCGGCAGCGCGGCCTGCACTGGCTGGAGAGGCCTGCGCCCCCCCGCGGTGTCAGCCGGGGCCTCCTCGGGCTTCGGGCGCACAGGCCAGCTCCCCCGGCAGGAGACCCCGCGGCCGCCTTTGAGGCCGGCTGCGAGGCAGGGCATTGTTCTCCGGCAGCTCAAATGTCAGCCGTGTGGCAGCCGGGGGAGGCCGAGCCCTGAACTCTAAAAGCCACCAGGCACAGCCAGCGTGGTGAAGGTGGCTCTTGTTAGGGGGCGGGGCCTGAGAGTGGGGGCTGGGAAGGACAGGGAGGGGTTACTCTGAAAACCCTTCTGTGCTCGGCAAAGTCTAACTGACCACCCCTAAAGGCCGGGTGCCAGTGTGGCCTGTGCTGGGGGCACCTCCCGCCCATGCCCCGTGGCGTTCACCTCTGGGTCTGTGCCCTGCCACAAGCAGCTCTGGGCCAGACTCCGTGTCTCGTTCACCCCATCGACAACCACACGAAGCCAACACTCCTTCAGTGCTCCTCACGTGCCAGGAACACGGCCCCACGCACGTCGCCTCACTGGACCCTCGCGGCGACCAACGACGCCCTGCAGCACTGCAGCACTGCGCAGACGAGGCCCCGGGCTGACGGCGCGAGTCACACCGCTGCTCGGAGGGAGGGTGGGGCCCGGGCCTGTGTGGTCCAGCTCCTGAGCCCACGCTTCCCGCCCTGCTATGCTGAGCCTATGGTGCAGATGCGAGGCTTGGGCCACGCGCCACTAGTAACACACAAACACGCCGGCGCACCTCGGAGGGTCCCGCCTCTGGCCCGGGAAGCCCCACGGAGGCGCGGTGCCCCTGCGCTGGCACACACGCACACTGAGACAGGGGCGCGGGTCCCCGGTCCAGACTCCCTTCGAGTCACACTCTCTGCCCCTCTTCCCACAGTTCCCAGCATCTTTGTTCTGCACCTCAGTTCTCCCAACCCCAGTAAAGGCTCCACTGGCAGACACAACAGACACAGGCGCTCAAACGCTGGACTCGTGGTGTGGAAATGCCACTTCGCCGCCACCACAAGTGGCTTCCCTCGTGCGGTTTGTCTGGTCTGACCCATCTCCGCCCCTCCCTGGAGACCAGGCACCGACAGACAGCCGACACGACGCATCCGTGGGCCTGCAGCGGCTGGCAGAGTGGCAGGGCCTGGAGCAGGGCACTTCCACGGGTGGGGGGTGGGGACCCGCCAGCACTGATGAGTGACGTGAGACCAAGGTGAGGCCTGTGAACAGTTCCCTTGCCCACTCCCAAATAATTGAGCCCCAAGATCAGCAGGAGGGAAGATGGGGTGCCCCTCTGTACCCACTTCCCACTGTGGCCCAAACACAGGCTTCCCCCACACGTTGAACAGGAGATCAAGGTCACAGAGACCAGATGTGTAGCCCGTGGACCTTACCAACTCCTCTGGGGGCTGGATTAAGGGCCTGAGGCCCACCTCTTGCCCCCGTGTCCCCTGCCCCCCAAAAGGTCCCACGGTGAGGTCTGCCGAGTGACCCACTGGGGCAGTGAGACGGTGGCCCACTGGCCTAGGACAGACCGAGCTAACCTAGAGGTCTGCCCAGGCCCCACACGGGATTGTGGGAAATGCTCAGCTTCTCGGCCCTCCCGAGGGGCAAGCCTGGCACACTCTGTTCCTGGGGCCCCAGGACTCGGCCCAGTCTGTTACGACAGGTGCCCCGGGGCAAGGAGGAGCCCGCCCCTGGGAGTTGGGCGACCTGAGTTCTTGGCTGGCCTTGTCCCCGGGAGGAACGGCAGACTGCGTCCTCAGGAAGCCCCATGCAGCTCTCTGCCTTCTCGCCCGTGCAGACGGGTCCACACAGGGATGCGCCCCGTGTGGGAATCCCACCCCACCGCCACACCCCCAGAGATGGGCGCCGAGGCTGGCTGGGCGGAGCCGGCAGCCTCCTATCATACGCACCAGCACTGGCAACCAGTGCACCTCCCGGTGGCCAGGCCCCCCGGGCTCGGACACCCGGGCCATCTTAATAAACCTGCACGACAGCCCGCTCTGGGGCGCCGTTCTCAGGTTTCCGGTTCTCAGGTGAGAAAACTGAGGCCGAGAGGGAGGACAAAACAGGCTGAAGTGGGATATGAAGGCCAGGGAGTCGGTCCAAAGCCCTCCCTCTGTTCTTCTGGGGTTTGCACTTCTGCACGAGGCTGCGTGGCCGAGAGAGGCAGGTCCCTGAGCATCTGCGCTGCAAACTTCCCTTGGTCCCCCCCGTCCCCCCACGTCTCCAAAGTCCTGCGTGAAAGCCCCCTCCTCTCTGGAGTCACCCTGACGCCCAGCAGACACCCAGCAGATGCCCAGCAGACGCCTAGCAGTCGCCCGCCGCCTCTGGCTGTCAGACCAGAGGTACCTTTGCTCTCGGCTTCCCGCCTCGGCCCCGGACCTCAGGCTCGGCCGCCCCGTCTCCGCTCTGGGCTGAGGACAGAGCCGAGTCTCCTCTACATCCCCGCACGTTCCCACGGAGCGGGTCCCACTGCGTGGGTGCTCAGGGGTCGGCAGGGGAACTGCAGTGCACACCTGTGCTTGCACACAGAAGTGACAGGGCGCTCACTACCATGCAAGGCCAGTCCCCTTGAGCAAAGCACTGTCCTGGCTCCTTCTGGGGACAACAGAGGGGGCTCCGTCGGGGCTCTCTGCAGCCCGCCACTGTGTGCAGTGAGGCCCTGCGCAAGCCTGTTTCCAATCCATGGTCCCTGACCCCTGCGCAGGCTCGGTGGGGTGAGGCAAGTGCTCTGCTCTGAATCCTGCTGGCAGCTCAAGGTCCTTTATCTTTATTTATGGCCACAGCTGACTGTTCCCAGAAGGCAGGGAGCTCCTCAGTGCAGGGACTTAGCTACAAAGCGGAGAGGAGGCCCCCTGGGTTCTGGGCCAGACCCTAGGAGGCTCCTCTTGGGAAACCCTTTTTAATTGGCAACAAAAGAACTGAAGGGCACAGCATGGAGAAGAGAGCCCCAAAGCCCCCGGTTCTGTAAGGGTCCTGTGTGGGGCTCTGCATGGACTGCCTGCACCAGCCAGGACACCCTCTGGAAGGACCCTGCCTGCAGCTCCCCTGGGCGAACATGCTCCCTCCATTAAGCCACAGGCGCACCTCGGTGCCCCCAGGACTGATGGTGAGGGGTGGGGGTGACAGGCAGGAGTGCGGGGAAGGGAGAGGACGCTGAGCTGTGCCTGGTCCCTGACTCGGGGCCCTTGGCTGGCGGGGCTGGGAAATGCCCTCGGAGACAGGTCACTGCAGTGCGGCCTGCGGTGAAAGCAGAGGGCAGGCTGCTGCCCAGCCCGAGGCCCGGTGCCCAGTGCCCAGGGAGCATGCATTCGTTGGGCCGCTGCTGAGGGGCGCCGGGAGCAGGGAGCGGGGAAGGAGGGAGACTAGGGAGCCAAACAGGACAGATGAGGGGCCTTGTTCCAGCTCTGGTCTGCCCCCCCAGGCCTGCGACCGTCTTGTCTGCGAAGCCCCCTCCCTCGGTCCTTCCTGTACCCAGGCGTCACCAAGGCTATCGGGCTTTCCTCCCCACCTGACCCATCTGCTTCACCCCCGCCTCCGCTGTACCACCCTGCTCGGCTGAGGCCGCTCCCTGCAGCACAGTCCGGGCTTCTCCTGGGTCTCGGCTCCCTGCCTCTCCCTCCCGAGCCCAGGGGCTGGTGACGACTCCCACCAGCACAGGACGGCGGTGCCTGGGCCGTCCGGGGTCAGGGCTCCCCGGCGCCCGTGGCAGTGCCCTGTGCAAGCACAGGACTGGATGCTGTGGCCCCGCCTCTGCTGCCACTGAAGGGCTGTCTGCGATGTGTCCTGTGCAGCGAGGGAGACGCCGTTCTCCCACAACAAGGGCTCGG